CACCCGATATCCGATCTTCTTCCGCAACATATATCGACGATCCATTACCATCACAGGGAGCAGCTTCCGATCCGGCCGGATTCTGTGTTTTTGTCTTCATAGCTTAACAGTTAACTGCATACGACAGCGTTTGCCGGATACTTGGGACTTTCCAGAAAAATTGTGGAACCTCAAACTTGGGTAATTAAATCTTACCTTTTGGTGGAAAAAAACATTCTCAGAACAGTCCATGATCGACTTTGTTGCAATCTTGGCATGATATACAGTAAAGATACGTCCTGTTCAAGCCTCTCAAGATTGAATACTTCATATGGCCAACGTTTCGGCTGCTTCGCCTTCGTCAGGGCCTGAAATAGTGCAAAGCATATGTGGCTAGCTCGCCCACACGCCTTAACAAAAACTCCAAGAAAATTCTCAGAACAGAAAAAAGCTATTCGCTATACTGTTCTCAAAGAGGAATATCTCCAAGTGGTGTGGTGAAGTTCACGTAAGTGATTTGTTGTTGAATTCGGTTCTTCTTCTGGCTTGTTGATCTGAGATAAAATTGGTTAGAATAAGGCCTGCCTTCAGCATGATAGATTCCCTTCTCAATTGCTTTCTCCAAGTCGAAGGAACATTGAGTAGTTAAGTGGAATTGAATAATGTTGAATGAAAAGCTGGCCTGACGTTTGCCAGGAGATTGCAAGAGTTTTACATTATTGACCTGAAGTACGATCCTTGTCGCGAACGCGACCATGAGAATTGAAATTTGAGGAACTCTTTTTCTGCTCTCAAATCCGTGTTGCAATTGCCTATACTGTTCGTTTAGAATTACCACGTGACAACGATGTCCTTTCGTGGAGAGTGCGTGGGCTCTGGGATACCGAATCGCGCGTGCAATCGATTGTGAGCTTCGATCCCGGGAATGTAGGCCCGTCAATCCACATTCACATCGTCAATCAATCGGTCACTTTCGGCGCGAGATCTCCGTTTTTGTTTTGCTGATCTTGATATTTGTACTCGAGTTTTAATTCAAGTTTTGTATTTTGGTTTAGTTACTCAAGTTTGAGGTAAAACTATAAGTCAAGCCGTGTTGTGGTCTTCATTCATATGATATCTCCCGCGTGGCCCAATAACTAATAGGCGAGCAGTTTGGAAGAACCCAACACGGCAGGATGTGCCTGAAGATAGTGATGATTCGCATCAAATGATTTCAAGTTTCTGAATTCCAATTTTTGCTGACTCAGAAGTTGTTGCCGTGAAAGTTCGAGTACCTTTCAAAACCGATGATTAGAGGATTTCAGCAAGTGCATACGGCAGTGCGGTTTAAAAAGGAATCCGTCCTCTCACCTGAACTTATGGTTGGATAATAGCGCGATTGGCATGTAAATAGTACCTGTTTGTTTTCCACCGATTTGGCGGGTACTTTAAAGGCAAGCATTTCAGCTAGAACCAGCAGCTTATGTTACGACGTATTAGACACGCTCGATGACGAAAGCCTCAAGAGAGTCAGAAGATATCAAACTGACCCTTCACTCCTTTAAAATTTGACTTTAGGTGCAGAAATTCAATCGTTCCGCTTTTTCGAATCACAGCTGCGACAAATCGTTGATAATGCAACCCTTTAGCAGATCACGCGGAGTGTCACCAGATTCTGGTATAGTTGGAACTGATTGAAGCGATAGTAATCTTCGGTCATCATTCGTCCAAAAGGCTCACCCCATGAAGGTCGAGTTCGACGTCGTTTCTTATGAGCATACTGTGGTCGTTGTTGTCGTTTATTCGTAAAGCTCAGCGGGTACCATTGGAAGGGCAGCTGATACAAACTCTTAGTCCCCTTGTGACTCTTGTAATGTCCTCGGAATAAAACATGAGAACCTTGTTTGGCATGTTCACAACATATTTCTTCTATCACCTATTGCAATTTGCGACTTTTATTTCCATAAAGTGTACAGGCCCTTTGTTTCACATTGACTATATTCGAAAATACTCGACATTACAATGCCCGTCTCTCGATAAACTTCGGCATAGTCACAGCACAGTTTATTCATTTACTTTAATAGTACATGATGTTGAGAGTAAATCGAGGTAACTTTTTGGATCTAGTGGAAACTAATTGATAAACGATCCAGTTCATTGATTTTGAGACGGCTTCCTTTATGTATTCTTAAAGCGTGCAACTAGATCATTCGATAAGATTCCTTTAAAATGCTATTTATTTTGACGATTCAGTAATTTACACTCTAAAATCTCCTGCGATAACTTCTTCCTCGATCATGCAGTGGTTCACTCCACGTAAGATACGGAAATAACCTTAAGAGGTGATTTTAGTATCAATTTTCCACCGAACAGCAAATATGAATTCTTTTGTCGTCCCCACACTTGGACCAGCCACAAAAGATGTAAAATAAAAACTGCTCTGATTGATGATTAAACTAGCTCGACAAAAAGCATTTCCTAATTAAACAGTTTTTTTTTACAGAAAAAACACTCAGGCGGAAGAGTAGGGAGTAGCAGGCGATCTTGTAGGTGGCAGTGCGCGATACACAGATGGAATATTTTTCTAGAACTTACCTCCGTCTTCTCCCCAGTCGGTATTCCACGAATTCGCAACGATCCAGTACTTCTCATATTTGTTCGCTCCCCATCCTATGATTTTTACAGTGTGTGCTCCAAGCAAATCGCCGCCTATGTGCTGAAAAATCGAAAAGAACGATTACTACGGTGTAAAATTAGCTTAATCACTGCTCCACTATATTGCTACACCTCAGACAGATGCCCTTATAATACGTCGCTGAGATAAAGCAGACTATAAATTCCACCCTAAAAACTTATGGTTCCTATGAACTCCGCTACAAAAAGATTTTATCAAGAAAGGGCACTATAGAGCACTTAAACTGGTTCTGCTTCTGAGATTAATCGGTAGAAATATATGTATCTTGACTAATGGTTACTAACTATCCCTTTAAGGAGGCATTCAAAGTCCCTATAAAGCTCTCATAGAATCACCTATGGAATTCATAAAGTATGCTGTTGATAATTCCTTCAGAACGACTTTTGAACTACCCTCACCATATAGACGCCATTGATGTAAGTACTGAAGTCTTCATAAACAAACATGGCAGCCTGAACTGGCCCATTTTTCATAATTTCTCTTTGGATGGTAGCTTCATCGTTTTCCAGAATGCGTGCCGAATTTACTGTAAATACTCTATTAAGAAAACATTATTCAGTTTTATGAGAGCTCTAGGCTCTCACAAAACTTTTTCAGATACAGCTTTATTTTATGCCTGTTATGAAAGCTTAACAGCAACATTGCCCCACTAATCTTACAGAAATTATTTCAAGGAACATCCATAAATTAATTCGTACTCAATCCCCTGCTTACTGAACACCTCAGACCTCAGATTTTTGCATTCTCACGCATGAGCGTGTGAGAATGCAAAAATTAAATGCGCCCAAATTTTCAAAGGTGATATATTGGAGAGGAAATAAAGCTGACAGCCTTGAACTTACCGTAGTACTTATCGTTATTGTAGCGTTTTCCATATCCATACTGGCAATACGGTTTGCAAACAGGCGTATTATATCTTGTATCTGGACACGGACCGTAAAACTTTTGACCTTGGTGACGCCCACATGGATGCAAGGGGTATTGTTTGCAGAAGCCCTGAAAGATGTTTTGCCATGTTCATTTAGTAATTCGGAGTAATTCACTTCATGACCGCATCAAAAAAGAATGGAAACAAAAGAGTAGTCGAAGAACGGCGTTTTTGGAAGGGATCTCGGCACAGGTCCTTTGTTTTCGAGTGGAATCATGGCACCGCTGTTTCTGTCCCCGCAGGCTCTCATAACCCCTCCCCCCCCCNCCCCCCCCCTCCCCCACTTATGATGTACGACCAGATCCATTCGCTGACCTGTTCTTCATACCGTCCTCCAGTGCATACACCATATTTTCTGGTATAGTTCCATGCTTCAATGGCATAACCTCCTTTGCAACTGCAATCAGATAACGACTCATATTGCTTTAAATATGAGGGAGTTTATGGCTGCTTGAATTCAAATTCGAGAAAACTGTAAACAGCCGCTGTGAAGAGAAAATTTTTCTTGTTCTATAAAAAAATTTTTCAGTATGACAAAAGCAGCTGTCCAAAGTTCCATGCTTGTGATGAAAACTTCTCCGGTTCAGTGTCCCGGCGGTGTCTAGTCACCAGAATTTCAAGCAATATTGATATCACTAATGCTTCGCCACTTTTTCTGTCTATCCATACTATCTCTTTAGGCGCAAATCTCGAAAGTGAAGATGAGGTATTTACGAAATAGAAGTTCTAATACCTTCACATGGTCTTAGCCTGATCTCGTCATTGCTCCACATGTCCCCTTCACATGATACAACGTAATATTGGAAGAGAATAATCAGTTGGAAACCCACCCATATCCGCAGATTTCTCCACAGCAGGACAGGATATCAACGTCCGACAGTGTAACCTGAAAACTCGGCATTATAACGCAACTGCAGGAAATGCAGTTGGCTGCACAAAAAAACCAGTCTACCTAGGAATTCACCGAGCCTACATAGATGCAGCCCCACAGTAGCGTTCGAGCTCAGAGAGCTTTTTCATGCTCTACTGTATATTTCATAAACTTTGCTGTATAGAACCAAATTGGGTAATGACACGTTCTTTTACTATCGAGTCTGACAGTTTCGGTGGCCCGACGGTAGGATGCTCTTCGAGAATTCACAAGTTCTTTTGATTGAAACACTGCTCATGCTAAAAGATTTTTGCGAGTTCATTAGGCTTTCGATGATGAAACTAATCTAGGTGGTTGTGCAACCTTTTTGTATACTCGTCTTCTAGCGTGCGACAGTCGATAAAGTGCGATGGATTCTTTCTTTCAGGAAAGCTACGGGGATCGTATGATGTTTTTCACCATTTGCCGTACAGGTTTGTTAAGACAGAAACCGCTTTATTGGTCGACGTTTCGACAAATCGTCGNAGCCACAGATCAGGAGCTCCGAACTGCTTTCAGGTCCTGAAGACGACGATTTGTCAAAACGTCGACCAATAAAGCGGCTTCTGCCTTAACAAACCTGTAGTGAAAAACATTATACAATATGCCCAAGTTTCAAGAAGACCGTATGTAGAAGTTGCTACGCAGATCAGCTATTTTTTGCGCATGTCAGAGTTTGTCAGAGTGTGAAACTTTGAGGCTGGGAGAAGCGAGGCTGGAACGACGGAAACACTAAGAGACTGAGGAGCTCAAAATTAAGAAGCTGCTTCCGTGGAGTCTATGAAGAAGGAAGTGAGCTGCTTGAATACCAGTTCCGGTTGCAGTAGAGGTTACTTTTTTGAGTGAGACACGCGAGATTTGAAAATCTAATATTTCGCCTAAGATTTCGATAGGATATCGAAATTGTCATTGTGATCCTCGTAATCATGACGGAGAGTCATTACTGTGACCAAAAGTCACTTAGACGATTTGAGCATTTTGAATTTTTAAATGGTGTAGCTAATGCCGCTCAAGAGCGTTGAAGGCGACCATAGAGGCTTCAGTTTGGTTGGGATTCTGCTCCCATACTATAATACCATACTATGTTCGGCACTAATGCACCTACTCTAGGAGTAATTCAATTACGTAGAATTCATATCTTTATTAACCTACGATGATTACTACTAACCTTCACTTTCCCTTTCGTCTGTATGCATAATCGATCGGACATTGTTTCCGCGGCCGATACGGCCCAGCATGAACCTGCAAAAAGCTTCCTAAAGCAGATCGGGTTAAATAGCCTCAATCACCAGCCCGTTTGAGACGCACCGCTGCGGATACACTGGGTAGCGAAAATCTTTTTTTAGATAGCATATCGAATCGTCAAATCATCACGCTTTCAACTCTATAGCTACGGTTAGTGTCCGCTTTAAATCATGACCCCACGTTAGTGATTAGAGCGTAGAGTAGAGCGTTGATCGCTTGACGCTTTCGTGTCAACCGGCGGTGCTCGGCGCTTGAAGGCCGCCTTAGCGTCCGCGCCGGTCTGACGGTCTCTGGAGCTGGCCATTTTCCAGCAGAGGAGTGTAGAGCTCTTGCATGTCAGCTACTTCCGTCATATTATACAACTGTATCCAAAAAAGAAAACATTAGATCCACAGACAAAAAAAAGACGGATATTCGGTGCTAGACTGAAAGTTGAATGTGCTGGTTGGACATTTGCCGGACTTTTCAATTTTGTCGAATGGGCTGTGCTTCTCAATTAGAGCTCATGGGGTCTTCTTAGCTCTTCGTAGGACAGAAAGGAATCGAAATCTCACCACAACTTGACTGATCGCGAATGTATCGTATGGAAGGACAGTAGTCCCAGACCTTACGTGCGTCGAAGCTGAAAAGAAACCACGGAATATTTAAAATCAACTGGAAGCAAAGAGTGTTATACTTGCAGTTAGTGATTCGAGCTTTACCTATGCTCGAATTTCTAATCGCAATCTATACTAATCACCTTTCAGGAATGTCGCTGGTGTCGTTATTGTATGGCTTGGCCTTTTTTGCAACTTTATACATCTCACGGGCTTTCCCTATGTATTCCGTTTTCATCAAACTCTGTATGCGACTTCTCGCTTTTTCCGAGTACTCTGCCTAAACACCACATTTCAAAACCGAAATGGGAAAAAAAAANAAAAAAAAACAATTTCCGCGAAATGATACTACATCACTATTTACTAATACCACGCCTCCTATTGCTAAGACGAAAATTCCTTTTGACACTTGTAAGGTTCTTTTCTGTCAGTAACTCATCTTGTCATTAATCCCCTATTAATCTTATTGACAATGTTCTCAGACAAGGCAGGTTTTTACCCTAGTTACTCGGAAGAGTGGAGCAGACGGATGACAATGAGAATTTTCTCTTATCTTTCCTTCCTTCTCCCTTTTCTGCATGTAAAATATCGGCTAATAAGCTATATACCCTATAAAACGATTGTCTTTTGTTCACATAATCCACCAGAGCTTTCCCTGTCAACTTTTGTGCTTCTTCTGGGATCGGTTGAGCAAGCAACTGCACTGAAATTTCAGAGATAAACCAGTAAGAATAACGGACATTCAAAAGTGAGGTATATCTCGACTAAATGCTTACGTCCAAATGCTTTATCCTCAATGGACTGTGTATACGACTTTTAAAGCTTAAATAAATATACTTATGGATGTAAATGACCCTTTCGAAGCATTTCTGGGTAGATAATGTATCACCTGATTATGTCAGGGGCTTCTGAAACGTTCTGTTACGCTGTTAGTAGCTCAGAAGAAGAACCGATAACTATATCTCCGTTTTGTACATCACCACAAGTTTCGATTGATAGTGCTCAGAGACTAGATCATCTCATGCAAGCATTTGATTCTGGTTCCGCTTGGGCCCTTGATTTCACTTGGAATCGGGCATATACTTCAGTCCCACTCATGAAGCAATAAACCCAAGTAATCGAATTCGTTTCGAGTGACGTGTATAGGGCCTCTCGTAATAGGGGTGTGGTATCTCTTCCCCGAAAATCGCGTCACACTCCCTCGCGGAACCACTCCCGCTCGCCGTGGGGATTCGGGGGAAATGATGTCACTCTCATAATAGCAACGGTCTGGCAGACATCTAAGTAGGGGCCTAGAAGCGCCGTCAACCTAGTAGCACCCGATTTGATTGTGGTGGCCGACCTGATACAAGCGATTCCGACACCACATACTAACCATCTAGAGGCTTTTTTTGTGTTGTTGTGTCTTGTTGTTGTGTCTATTTCTTGTATATATAATAGGAAACAAAGAATCCTATGATATTTGAAAAAAGTGACAAAGGAGAACATTTTTCGATTAGAAATAAGAATGGCCGTATCGTCTACGTAGCAAGGTCTGAACTGGTAAGAAGGGACCAGCTCCGAAACCTATTTGTCATTAACCTTATTGCAAAAGCGGTGCTGGACTATGTCTTGCACCCTGATTTCCCTGGCTGCCCAGAACGCGGGAGAATCGTTTCTGGTACCCGATACTTAAATGACTTTGGAACTACGGCTCCTAAATTACTTTCGCATGTTTGAGGGCTCCGACCGGCCATTATTCGAAAACAGGAAGTTTACATAGATATATAAACATAAAAACGGAGCAAGTGAGATTTTCTTACTCATTGTGAGCTCCTTCTGGCATGATTGTGCGATGAAGAATGCGAAGAGAATGAATGGGACCTAAACAAAAATCTGAGTGACCAAAACGATCGGCTTTCTCACAAATCCGTAGCACTTATGAAGAATATGGACTCATTTCAAATGGCTCTACAGCTCCATTGAATTTCTTTTTATTTCGAAGAGATATTTTGGGAAAATTGGTGAGATATCTGTAACCTTTTATAGATTTCAGTTGACGCCCTGTCCTGTACACAAGAGAACAGAGACCCAAACTTCAGTACGCCAAGGCTTTGTTGAAGGCACTAGAAAAGGCTCCCAATGTAAGTGAATTTAGATATATCTGCCCGTACAGCATCCACTGCCTTCCACACGGGTCTGGTCGGATAGAAGAAATTACCAAAACAAAAATACATCAACAACTCACCAACATTTTAGGTAGTTGTGCCGCTGTCCTCAGCAAATTACTAAATACCTACGTGACGTCTATTACAGAGAAATGTATGAAAAGGAACATATACCATACCTTATCACAAATCGGTCATTATCATGAGGCATACCACAGCAAAGTACACGTCACCTTGTATACAAAAAGTGTCATTTAATTATAAAAGAAATATAGGGGCCATATGAGCCATGTGACCTCCGGTTTGGTGCCACTGATTTATCTTCTATCATTATCTCTAGAAAAAAAAACGTTACGAAAACCTTGCTACATCAATGTCATAAAGCGATCAATCAATCCAGTACTACAGTATGCCTACATATGTATGTGCAAAATTCATACAGTATCATTTGTCAGTTTATAGCACTTATCATTTCTCTTTCTGCCCATGTACCGCTACCTTTATCGTCGTCAACATGCCTCTGAGATACAGTTCATGAGAACCCGAGGCACCCTTGGTGAGGTGCACGAGATTAAAATAACTCAAATTGCACGGGTATTCATTTGAAATTTCAGTTGTTATTAGTTCGTGGTACACCAGAAGTTGGTTCTCTACCTTGGCCATGAGTCACGAGTGGCTTTTGAATTCTGAACATGACTGCTTTATTACGAACAGTGTGGCGTTTGCAACGCAAATCGAACTCGCCCGTTTTTGGGGTGTGGACGTCGACCCGGTCTCTGAGCCCTTATCGCGCTCTCTCTGAAACGTTGTTCGGCCCGACAGCCGTCCCACATGGCGTACTTGTGGCCCAATAGTTTGTTTTATTGCATGTCTTGGAGAAGTACTTTCATCTGTGCTTTCAATGTAACTAATCAGAAGACCGGAACCTCCCAGGAAGTTGTACGTACTTCGCCAAGATGAGCTTGTGTGAACTGATCAGGAGAGACCTGGGATAAGTGCATCAGAACAGAGGTTCCTGATCTGGCTTCTAATAAATAAATGTATAAAGATAGCAAAGGATTCGTGAATTGAAAGTGAATAATCCTCTTGTGGCGCAGAGGGGAGAAGAGCCCCCTCTTGGTTTTTTTTGGCTCAGTTTCACATCAGATTAGGGGTTTGAAAAAAAGGCCTGAGTAGTCTTTACAGAGCTTCTCTATCTCAAAAATAGATGAAAATTCTGTGAGGAAAGTTTTTCGGTCTCGTATTACATGAATTAATAAGAATGTTGACCAAGAGAGCAGTGGGAAAAGTCTACGTCTGTGACGTTATAGATGCCAAGTATAACTGACAAGCAGTGTGTCGATAACGACTTCCTGACCGTGGTGGACTTATTGGGGTTTGCACAATATACGGCACTGGCTCTATCCTCTAATGGTAAGATACATCCCTCGCGATCTATTTCAGGGTCGTTCTGAGCAGTAAAGCAGTAGAACGGAAGTGACATGCATTGTACTGAAGGAGCAATGTGACCAGTGGCTGTGTCTGCTACGTACCAAGACGATTTTCAGGCGTAGTAAGTGCTCAGCCCTTGCTAGGTAACTAGAGATTGAATATCGAAGGATTATTAGGATGGAATTGCGAGTAGAATGGAACTGTAGAACGGAAACGCGTACAGTGTGTATGGCGAAGGTATCGCATACGTGGACAGTCTTCGGAGCACTCGGGCAACGGGGGGTCCTGCGACTTCCCAGCGATCCTGCGTGTTCCTCAATGACCATGCGCTGCTGCTCTTTCCGCCGTCCTTGTTATCATCGTCGCTCGTCTCGAGCCGGCAAGCATGGAATGTTTAATAGCAAGCATGTTGCTTGCAACCTACTGTACTCTTTACTCCTTTACAGCATAAAAATTCTCAGACTGTAGAGCAAGCGATGCATCTTTTCTGTTCAATCCAAACAATACCCGCAAAAAGTTCTTTAATTCATCACGCGAGTCTAGCCATGCCAAACATTCCGGAAAGCTTCTTTTTTTTGGTTTCCCTTATCAGGACTGCAATCCTTCCGATCTTTATGGAGTTTCCGTGACAAACAACCACATTCTTCTGGACAATGGAAGGTTTAAAGCATTACATTGAAGCTTGTTAATAATATGGTCAGGATGTTAGTTCCCAAAACTGCAGCCACGAAACAGCAGCCATGAGTAGAAGCGTTCCTACAAGCTTATTCTGTCTGTTCTAAACAGATGTGGACACTGAACTCATCCTTCCAACAATTTACTGGTAACAATTCATCCAATATTTCGTCAACTTTGATTAACCACATCGTTACAATAAGAAATCTCCTGTGACCATAAATTCTTCGAATCGGCAGTGATTCACACCACGGATGATACGGAAGTAACCTTAAATAAGATTCTTCAAAAAAACAGATGACATCGTTGTGTTTCGTGAAGGGAATGGCCAGCTTTCAACGGGCAAGCACACAGAAAGTTAGCGCTGTTTGAAAAGATCACAAACTTGAATTTTTCTCGATATTCATGGTGTTATCTGGAAAGCTTTACACGTTTGCAGGAAATTTAGTTGGATCAGTACCCTTCAGAAATGATATCAAGTCCCTGCTGGTCTTACGTCTCCTTGATTGGAAAATATGAGCCTTTGTCGTTTCATTTTTTGATGAACATTTAAGCGCTTTGAGCACTGTTAGCATTATTCCCTCTTCGCTAGCTCTTTTGCCAACCCCGCTATCTAGGCCGAATGTAAGCCTTGTTCTAAAGCAAAAAGACAATAACATCACGTCTCACCATCCTCTCCCCAGTCCGTGTTCCACGAATTGGCAACTGTCCAATACTTCGTTCCATTCTCAACTCCCCATCCGACGAGTTTCACAGCGTGTGCGCCCTGTTCCTGTCCAGCTGTGTGCTGTCAAAAAGTAGAGTTTTTTTTGCCATCAGAGCCTTACACTAGCCTATACTCAAACATCATTTGCATCTGAAAAAGCTGCCAGGTTACGGGACAACTCTTATGGGTACAGAGTAGGTAGGTAACAAATTGAAACTGAGATAGGCTGAGGCTGAGGCATGAAAGCAGCTTGGAAATATCTTCTCACCACATAGATCCCGTTTTGGTAATAGCTGAAGTCCTCATAAACGATGAAGATTGCTTGAACTGGTCCCTTTCTCATGAGCATTTCTTGTATGGCATCTTCCTGATTGAGGATGGAGTATGACCATTTAACTAGAGCAAAGGTTCTTCAGGCTTGCTATCACCAACTAAAAGTTAAAATCACTACTAGGACCTATTATATTAGAGTCAGTGAGATTCCTGTGAACCAAAAATGACCTCGTTCTAACCTTACGCAACTGTCCCTAGCACATAAATGATCGTATAACACGAAAGTTAGAGGGTAGACCGAAAAATAATAATTCGGTGATACTCTAGTAGTGATAGGCTTAAGCTATGAACTGGGTCAAAGGGTGATTGCAATCGTATCAAGAAAGCATCGGCATATTTCCATCAATCACCAAGAAATTGGAGTCTTACCGTAGACCTTATCGCGTTTATATCGTTTTCCATATCCATATTGACAATACTTCTTGCATGCTGGTGTCTTAAAAAGGCGCTTCGGGCACATGCCATAATATTTTTGGTCTTTGTGGAATCCACATGGATGGAAAGCGTACGGTTTGCAAACGCCCTGGAAAGCATGTTTCCACATTTTGTTAGGTAAATATGACCAGGAGTAGTCGTCGCATCAAAAGTGAACGAAATGAGACTCATACATTGAGAATGTAATTCCTTTCACTTACTTGCTCCTCAAATCGTCCTCCGCTGCATACTCCGTACCTTTTTACATAGGCCCAGGCTTCAGTATGATATCCTCCTTCGCACCTGCATGTAAATTGGACTACTATAGGCTAGAGTTCAGAGTTTTCAAGGAGCCTACAAGATTGCTATGTTTCAGCTATCTGTTTAGAAAGGATAACAGGAAAAGTGTCCGTCGAATAGTTTTTACGATTCTTCTTTAACAAAAGGATTCTTTCTGAAAACAAGACCTTCTAGAGTTTACTAGAGTTTACAAATTGGAATGCCCATGACATCTCAAATGTACTCTACAATCGTCCTGCCTATACAGAGTAGGGCAGTGCTGATGGGCAGAGATTTTTGGATTCTCGGCTCAATCACAGAAACTTCTCTTTCTAGTCTCTACAACAGGGCACATTTTCCGAAAAAACACTTCCCGGAACGTATAATACTATTCAATACAGACCTCTTTTTCTTCATTTTTCGAAATTATTGTGACAGAAAAGGTCGTCCAGAAATACCAATTTTTTTTCGAAAATCACTAGATGATTTTTTGTATGTTCTCCTGCTTTTACCCTACTTCTGTTTCGAAGAATGTTGAGGACCCACCCATCTCCGCAGGCATTTCCGCAGCATGAAACGATATCGGTGTCGGAAAGTATCGTCTAAAATAAGTTTTTTAAGGCGGGATCCAATATCGACGGACATGAGACTGTTTCTGAGAAACAAAAATTTTTGGATGCAATTCCCCTGCAACAGTAGGGGACTCTCCTTTCAGAATTACTCTACTCAGTTGTTCATAAGTGACCAGAAATACACCCCAGTACGGGTCATTCTTAGCATGCTTTCACTGGGTGGTTAACACGGTAGCATGTATATTATGAGGAATTCGGCATAAAGATGACAAGCGTAACAAAAAACTTTATCTATGAGAATCGATAAATTAACCTTCACTTTGCCTTCTGATTGAACACAAATACGATCAGACATTGTCGATGCAGCTGAGACAGCCCAGCACGAGCCTGTAAAGGGCACAGATTTTGATTGCAAGCCTTACCGTATTTTAAACCCTACTTTACAGCACTCAGGATGAAAGTTGTTTACAAAACCAGTGATGAACTATTCATTTCTTTTTCGTTTTTTATACTCTCTGATAGATAAACTCATCCGGTATGTCGTGACTTTCGTACGATCTCTTTGCGCACCGTTTCTATTGCGGTCCTTGCACTACATCTCACGTGCAGAGCAACTCCAACGCCTATTGGACGGTCGTTAGAGTTCCGCACTGGGTCCTACCGCGTAACTGCGTTGCAGCCTTTGCCTGCGTATCAGCGGGAAGGAAAGGAAAAGTTGGCCTAAAAAAGGAAGGCAGTCTTCGTCAGTCTCGACTTACTCCGCGCACGATTCGGCTGGAGCTCTGTATGGTTCCTTACCTCATCTTCGACATTCCCTCGCCAATCCTAAGTTATTCGTCCGCAGTCCCGACGTCAGTTATTCCTACTAACTTCTCTACGGAATTGGACGATCACAGGATATGCGCAGTCTCCATGAAGCTGAGAAGGATTATTCCACGCAGACAACACCAAGGGGCACCGCACAAGGAAGAGGACCGCCAACACCGTGGCAAGGCGACACTGGCAAGCGCAGTACCCTTGTGCTCAACTCAGAAGTCACGGCGGCGTTCATCCCACAACTTCTTTCCATTGTCGTGCTCCGTAGAGTGAACGCCCGTCGCGACACGGTACTTTCTTGCGCAGTACTGACATTGGCTACAGGTTTCCTGTTGTTATATTTAGTTCATCCTCTCCATTCAAACCGCAAACGCCCTCACCTTCTTTATGCCATACATATAAGTCCCTTCAACTTTATCAGCACCCATAAGTAAAAAGCTGACTGCATTAGCCGATGTCTGCATTGAACAATTAAGCTGTAGTCACTTGATAAACTTTGTTTACGACCAAGAAAATCATGTGGCTCCCAAAAGCTCACAGCTTTATGATCTTATTATGTCGACTAATCGGTTCATCCTGATGTTGTGGGTGCTGATAAACTAGAATGAAGTGTCTCGAAGTGGGAGCAAGTAAGGTCCTGTCACGACAGAAGAAGTAAGCGCGATGATCGGAATGTCAATTTAGTAAAACATATATATGGTTCCTTTAAGCTCTCAAAAGCAGAGTCTCCGTTGGGATAGCGTCTGAGATTTCTTCCTAGAATGAAACTGTGACCCCCAAGGACAGTCCAAGGGACGCTGTCGGGTCGAAAAACAGTCAACATTGGGCATAGTAAGTTCTACCAAAACCGGTTTAGCCGATGCACACACCCAAGGCGTTCCAGTCGTTGTTATGTTGTAAAAGCTGTATGAGTTGCACCATTCGCACTGGGACCCACATCTTGCACTCAGGCAGCGCTATGCAGTCAACTGTATGCAATGGCGCGTGCGTTCGAACAGCTCGCTCGAATACCCGTTCCACGCAGTTTTTTCGTAACATTCTTGTCCAACTTCTAATTTTGCTTCATTCTTGAAGCCTTATGTTTCCCCAGATAGGCTGTATTCATATTTCTCTGTTTTGTACTACCCTGAACTATCACTTCCACTACTCGTCCGAAACTAGACAACACAAAATAACATCATCATGAACTGTGCTATTAAGGATTCGTTCATACCTACTACCCTGCTTTATTTTTAGTAGAAATGAAATAATGCGGTGATCTTACCACAATTCGATTGGTCACGGATGTAATCTATTGAAGGGCAGTTCTTCCATACCTTCCGAGAGTCGAAACTGAACAAATGAAAATCATAACAACCTAGAACAAGTAACCGCAATGATGTGATTTGCAACAATTGAATTGAGGTGAGTGATTTCAAATCGGTTGATTTTTCGCTGTTTTTTGAATGTTTGCCAAAAAGAACCACAGCTTCTTATTTACGGAACTACTCGTTGAAAGTTAGCTTTATTGCAAGAAAGCCCTTCCAGAGGTAAGGTGATGATGTCGTCATGGAGTCATTGAGCCTCAAAAGTTTGTTCAGATATCGAAACGAGAAAGCTTGGCTTGTGTATATTCAAGCAATTCTTCCGTCGCATCAGAATTCGGGTTAAGCAAATACAGACGAGCAATACAATATGGATTGACTTGTCACCTGGGTAGCTTAGACAATGAATTGGATGTATCCAAGTTAGTTTTGAAGTGACTAGCAAGAGGAGGTGAAACAGGTGCTTCTATAGTACCGTTTCAGACGGTTTACCAAAACCGTAAAATTTCACGCATTCAGTAATCTCCAAACACACTTCCCACTATCGGAACTCTTGTTATGGTTTCTGTTCCTATATGTATCGGCTTAACACTTCTTTCGTTCTGTAAGACCCATTGATAAAAGCTTATGAACGATTAAAATGTAAATCTGATTCAAATATATCATATCTACAACCCTGGTATCACGTGAAGGGACTCTCTAGCTTCCCTATGTCACCATATCGAGAGCTATGAGCTAGTGTCTCGTAGTGTTTGGACAAGATGGATCATGAATTACGTGGGAATGTTATGAGTTCCTACTTCTTCTCAGACTCGGGGTCTGTGAACTGAGAGACAAATGACAACCGCCTTCGTGATAATAACTTTTCAGTATGTCACAGTGATGAACATTATTACCTTTCAGGGATGGTGCCATTGAAGATCGGTCCTTTCGCCAATGTAAATCCATCTAGTTCTCTGTTACGGTGAGCCCCGAGATATTCCATCTTCATTAGACTTTTCATGCGTTGTTTCGCATTTAGGGAATAATTAGCCTGAATTCCATTTCGTGTGAACATCAAAAAAAATCAGGTTTTTCCTCACAAGTTCCTCAGATTTTACTGTGCAAAACTTCTGAAGATTCTGTCAGTAACGTCAGACCTAGAATTCGCGATTACCCAACAGGCCACTTTTGAAACCAGCTAATCCGCAATGTTGCAGTTGCCTTAGCTAAACTGATTATCACTACTATGACTGAGATGACAGTGATTTTTTCAAAAATTAATTTTAATATTAAAAGAAAACACTTTGAAAAAACCTGCACCTTGAAAAAAGGCTGTCGCTGGTTCACATACTCCACTAATGCTTTGCCAGTCAACTTTTGAGCTTCTGCGGAAATCGGTTGTGCAAGGAATTGTTCTGTAATCCTAGAGGCTATCAAGACACACATACTGTAATGCATTAGAAGTGTTTCGAGGATTCGCTAAATTCATCAAGGAGGATGTTCAGATCGTTATAGGCTGACGGTGAAAATGGTCTTCTGAGCCTTGCTGCTTCTCTGTTCTCTTCTCTGGGATAGCATCTACTACCTACAACCTGGACCGCTTTACATTAAATATATAGAAGAGGGCATGTTGTTTCTGTTGCAAGTCAAAATAAACACTGTTCTGCTTTCCGAAACAAACGAAAGACTCAATTTTCGGGTTTTGGGTTCACCATGAACAAGTTGGCCGTCGTCCTGACAATTTATTGACGTCAAGTGAGATCCATTCTGCAACAGTTCCGATCCCACCCTCGGATGATTCTCATTATGTAAGTTTCCGAACCATTTTGTGAACCTAGGCACTGGAGAGCTCACCTTGGTTTTTGTTAAGGTTCATTCTTTAGTTGATTTTTGTATGGGTTGTATCGTGTTATTTCATTTTCCATAAATGAACTCGTAAATCCTACTTAATATAATTCGCTAAGTGTGTCTGTTGGTGTGTCGGTGTGTTTGTGTGTGTGTTTGTTTGTGTGTGTGTCGGTGTGTGTGTCTGACCGGAAATTCATAACTCCTGTCCCCGTGGACCTAAAGCGTTCAAATTTGGTAGGAGTAATGGGGGCAGGATGGGAACACCTATGGTAGGTGGCAGGACCAGACTCCACCCATAGGGGGCAGGTCGTGCGCGGTAGAAAGCAATTTTGGGCCGCAAATTTATAACTCCTGTACCCGTGAACCGAGAGCTTTCAAACTTGGTAGGAATACGATGGGCAGGATGAAAACACTCATGGTGGGAGGCGACACCGGATTCCGTGCAC